CATTTGTCGCGTAGCTCTCGCTTTGGTGTTGTAGATGAAGTATCATAAATATACATAAGCGTTCACAGGGGAAATTCTTGCAATATTTGTTGCCAACGTTGCAGGCTTATACTCACAACATGTCAACACTTCAAATTATATGCCCATCCTAAAATATATGGCGAGCCAAGATGCCTTAGATGCAGAAACGCAAATATACACAAAGTGTATGTCTTTCACTTTTGGTATAATCTTGCCATATTCACTGCCTATACCCGTATACTCGCAACGTGTTAGCACCTATAATTAAATACCTATCCCTAACCAAACATCTATTGGTTATAGACCGAGAGCGGGTGAGGTTGACAAAACACACATTTACCCCAAAGACCTGGTCAAAGGCGCTGCCAACTTGGGTCTGATGGCTGTGGAGGTTCCGGAAGAATTGGGTGGTACCGGTATGGACGCCCTGGCATACGCTATTGCAATGGAAGAGGTCTCGAGGGGGTGTGCGAACACTGGAGTGGTGATGAGTGTCAACAATGTAAGTTCAAAGTTTATTTGTATGTAAAGTTGTGTCATAAGGAAGTCGATCATCTTAGATCATCTAGTGAAGAGCCTGTGCGCGAGAACCGGAGTGCTGTCATTTGCTGGATACATGGGTCGCCTCCATATAGAAATGTTGTATACGAGTGCTATGTTCGTTGACAAAGTAGTTAGCATCTACCAATTGCCTGGTCTGCATATACTTGTGTATGCACATCAAACTCTTCTAGTTAACTGCATTGATCAATGTCATATTGTATGTTACGATATATGTTTCGCATATGCATAGTGGTTGTGGTCTTGGTTGCAGGTGTCATCCTGTAGTGAGTTGTTTACTGGCGAAGATTTGAATACGGCAGAATTGGTACATTCTCTAATCTGTGGCTTTTACATTAGTCCTCATCTGCTCGGGTGTTGGAGCCTAAAACCTCAACTCTCCATCATGCTGGTCGAAACCTCACTGTTATGCAATACTATGCTATGCCTTCCGAGCCGAAGGTTTGCTGGTAAAACACCGACTAACATATCCTACCTTCCGGCCTCTGCAGTCCCTGTATCTGTCGCCCATTATGAAATACGGAACGCAAAAGCAAAAGGAAGAATTTGTCACACCTTTCATCGATGGAGAAAAGGTGTGTATGACATATATCTGCAGTGCTGTATGTGCTGCACCTCATCGTCGCAAGTTTTATATTTGCCCTAACACAGTATTGGCTTAGTGTATTCTAGATGATTTCTTACCTGTTCAAATGTCGATAAGCCTGGCAGGGTCTCGTATATCTCATACAAATAAGAATAAAACTTGCCTAGGGTACTAGGGTACTAATATGATGCAAGTAAACTCGTGTACGTTTTGGTAATGGTGTCAGTTATTCACAGGTATATACATATCCATATATACATATACATACATATATATGTATATATATAGATTCATATATATATATATATATTGAAGATATATATATATTCAGTGATTTGCAGGCATATATATATATGGATTTTTTAATATAAATTTATAATATATTCAATATATATAAATATATACATAAATGTATACCTATATATATATATTTATATATATGTATATATATATATATATATGCACCCACGCACACACACACACATATATATATATATACATGTATACATATATACATACACCCACACACACACATATATATATATATATAATATATATTAGATAGTATATATATGTATTTATATATATATATATATATTAGATAATATATATATATATATATATACATCTATATATATATATACATATATTTATATATGTATATATATATATATATATATATACATATATATATATATATATATATACATATACATAGATATATAGATATCTAGATATCTATACATATAACTTTCTGATATCTCATTTTTGAAGCTGTTTCACTACCCTTGTTAGGTGGGATGCTTTGGTCTTTCTGAGCCTGGAAATGGTTCTGATGCAGGAGCAGCCAGTACAACCGCCCGCCTAGACGGCGATGAGTGGGTTATCAATGGTATTTACTTTCAATATTATAGAGTTTTGCACGCTATTGTGTAACTTTGCAAATGGCTGACGTTGTCGTTGATATGCATATTCATGTTTGAGCCTATGGAATTTTGCATGTTTCTCTGTACGTTCGAAATACTTGTTATGTTGAAGGTATTTGGTGAAGCTTCTCAAAATCTGTACGTTTTTGAACATTTCGAAAGGAGGTGGTGTAGTCGATTGCATAGCACTTTTTCGGGTTTTTTCATTTTTTTTCTTTTCTTGGCTGGCCTAGGCGTGCCTCACTTTGCTTTCTCATTTCAATCTATGCGCTGTTTCGTTTGTCACTATCATCCGTTGTCGGTTTTATCATTCGATTCGACGAATTCATCACTCGCAGCGCCTTTCTTTTTTTCGTTTTTAAAGTCCTCCGTGGCATGTCACTTCGTATACACACTGTTATCTGTGTTCGGTTTAATGTTTTGTTTGGTCTAGTTAATGCCATAGTGATGATAAACCCCGCTTCTCAACCGTCTGTGGCCACTCCACGGTGGATGTGGCACAGGCGTTGGAGTAGTCTCAACTTCGATGCGACCGTGACGACATATCTACGGTTCATGCTAATCTGAATGGCACATTTCATAATTTGTTGTCAACGAGTTGGTGAACTTTTCACATGCCTGTACCCATTTATATATATTAAACCTGGCAAGTGTGTGCATATCTAGTCACTCATTTATATAGGCATCAATTACTCTCCCTTACCAGTTTTGCATAAATTATTTCATTAAAAGGTTCGTCTTGTCCGCTGCCAATTTTTCGAATGTTGTGGGTAGGCAAGTTTTTGTCGTCAATTGACAGTAGCGTGGCGTTGGCATACCAAAAACAGTGCTATTCGCGCACAATCAATGCCTCTGTAACGACGAATTGCCCGAATTTATTGCCTCCAAATTCATAGATTTTATATCTCGCTACGCAACCGCACAGGTACTAAGGCATGGATCACCAACGGATACGAGTCAGAAGCCTGTGTGTTGTTTGCCACTACCGATAAATCCTTAAAGCATAAAGGTATGCTATGTTTTACTAGTGATCTGTAGATTGTCACAGAAACCGAGCCATGTAATATACCAATTTTAGTTATTAATTGATATGCCATGTTTACCACATACAGTATCTATTCTGCCCACTTCATTTGTTGTTTGTAAGAGCAGTTCGACCTTTCAAAACCAATAGCGGATCAGTTACGCCCATATATTTGTTTGACAGTAAAATAGTATGTTGTCTCTTGCCAAAACCAGTAAAGAGCTCAATAATCTGACAAATTTGATTATGATTCGGCTGCGATTCCTCATACCGGTATCAACATACATATACAACACGTGTCCAGGTATCAGTGCTTTCATCGTTCCTAAGCCCATCGAAGGACTAACGCTCGGAAAGAAGGAAGACAAATTGGGCATTCGCGCATCCAGTACTTGCAACTTAATCTTTGAGGAATGTCGTATTCCTAAAGAGAATCTGCTGGGCAAGGAGGGCGAAGGCTTTAAGATTGCAATGGTGGGTGTTTGTCATTGTTTAATCCAGCCTTCTTTTTATTTCGTCAGTTCGACTGGTTTTAATTGCATAGGGCGCGCGATCTGCTAGTTTGTAACGCCTTAGATGTAAAGCTACCTGGTGTCTGTTGCGATACTTTCAATCCCGTTTGCAGTGTCATAGTATGCGAGCGAATGCGGAATGGCTATCATCTCCTGCCACTTCGAAAACTCTCTGTCGCATGGAAAAGTCAAGTTGAATTGAACATTTACTATTTGAACCAGTGAACTTTGCATAAGAACGGTAGCAATAAGCCGTTTGGGTGTTTCTCTTTCACTCATAGCGTTTCTTATCAATATTTCGCAGACTACTCTTGATGGTGGTCGAATTGGAATTGCCGGACAGGCTTTGGGTATCGCTCAAGCATCACTGGATTGTGCTATTGACTACGCCCAGCAGCGTAAAGCGTTTGGCAAGTAAGTGCTCTAAAATGAATACGATTGATGAACAGTCCTATATAATATATATATATATATATAAGTATATGTATATATATATATATACAGTATATATATTTGTATATTATATATAAATATATATGTATATAAATAAATATATATAAATACATATATACAAATATATATATATACTATATATTTTATTATATGTGTATGTATATATATATATATATATGTAAATATATATATATATATATACATATTATATATATATATATATATATACAAGTGTATGTATATCTATAAGTGTATATATTTATATGTATAAGTGTATATATTTATATGTATATATTATGGATATGTGTGTTTATATGTACCCAAATAACGGTATTTCGAGTGCGCGGCAGTCTTGTGCGGCTTTGTGGGCGCTCAAATGAGGTCCCTTTACCATTATTATATGCGTTTTTCTACCTTCGACTGTAGAGCTGATTAATAGTATATAATCAATCAACTATATGCTTTACATATAGTCTATTACCATTATCCACTCTTCCTGTGTTTCGATCCTGTTTCTGTCAATGCATGCCCCAGTTGCGCTTGATAGCGTTGCGTCCCATGTATCATGCTAACACTTTGTATTCCATCTCTCTACCAGGCCCATCGCAAATCTGCAACTTATCCAGATGAAGTTGGCTGATATGGAGATGAAGGTAGAGTCCGCGCGTTTGTTAACGTGGAAGGCTGCTATGCTCAAGGATGCTGGAGAGGACTTTGTTAAGGCCGCCGCGATGGCTAAGCTTGCTGCATCAGAGGCTGCTACCTATAATGCTCACCAAGTATGTGCAGGATCCATACGCAACAATGCGTATTTATGTTTTATGTACGCGCTTATTGACCATATTGATCTTTGGAATGCCTTTGCTTTGACTTATGTCATTTCTTTGACCTCTGCTGCTTAGTGCTACGGACCGCTAAGAGGTCTTAATATGAATATAGAATATCATTTTGATGCGCTGTTCTTAGCCATGATTTTGTCGGTGTTTAATTTAATAGTAAATGTACATAGTTCGATCTATATCTTTCTAATCATAGCCTTTTATTTTTCCCATACGTTTCCCATTGCAGGCCATCCAAGTGTTGGGTGGTATGGGTTACACATCCGACATGCCCGCCGAGAGGTACTACAGAGACGCGCGTATCACGGAAATCTATGAAGGTACCAGTGAGATCCAGAAACTGGTGATCGCTGGGCGTTTGCTCAAGGAACATAGTATTTAAATGGTAGAAATGCGGATTCGGGTCAGCTAATCAGAGCGACAACGGTGCATTCATTTTGAATAAACAAGAAACTCGCCACTACACAGATGTAAATTTACATACTCGACACATTTTGTAACTCGCGCCCTTACATTGGATACAGTATTTCATCTTACGATTTAATCCCTTTATGAGAACCAGCCTACGTTCGTTTTGCGGTCGCTTCGGATTTGTCAGATTTCAACTAAGCTAAAATGAGGCGGATGGAAAAAGTGTGCCTGTGCGGAGAACCAATTTTTTAAAATTATGAGCAGTCCCGCGAAAACTGAGACAAATGTAATACGCTTCTTATGTGTTGGTGTCCCCAAGCACTATAATAGGGCACACAAATTACAACATATCCATCCATGTGACCCAAAATTTAGGGGATTGATAAAACGGGCTGATGGACCAAGTTTCTACAATTCAATCACGATATTCATGCCGATGATAATATAAACATGACAAATAGCTCCGCAACTGTACCTGACAAAATTTAGCCGGTATACTCCGATATAGTTTTATAGTCGATATTCCAATAAAATTGCGATCCGATACTACAATTTTCGATGAAATTATTCACAAACCCGTTAGATTCACGCCCGACATGTTGACTCGTATAGTATGTGTTCTCACGCTTGACAATTTCGACCCAATCCTTGGTTTCGCCAGATCCTGCGATTGTGCCTCAGCATTCATTTAATCATAACCCGAATTGCCGTGCATCAGTTGCTCAAAGATATCGCTTGAGACTGCCTTTGTTTGGGAAGTAATTAGGCTCTCACGTTGTTAGTGTCATTTGAAAAATAAGTCTTCAGAACTGGCGCTTGGACAATAAAAATCTATCTGTGCTGTGGAAAAGTCGTCAAAGCGGGATAAAGAAGTATTTACATTGCGATGGGATACATCTTATGGGTTTGTGCCATGGTCAGGGCGCAGTCTAAATTAGACAACACTCACCAAAGTAACACTTATCTGACATAAGGAACCGAATCGACGAACGGAATCGACCCAATACAGACATCGAAAGACTGATTCGAGCGGGATACTGCGGTTGCCTGACAACGGTAGTTTTGAACGTAACAGTAGACTTGAAACTAAAAGTCATGAGTGCAATTATATTTATTTTTATACATGAAGCCCTGCAGCGATAGTGCATTGATGTACAGTTTACATAAAATGGAATGCTCAACACCAAATAACGCGGCTAAATTTTAACCTAGAAGGGAATTTACTGCTGCAGCATAATTGGAAAAATAGTGAGCTTGTACGGAACCACCTTCCGCCGAATCGCGAGCAGTTTCCCGGCAATTAAGACATACTACGCTACCCATGTGCTTGAATCCCCACGCGGTAAATGGCACGCCAGTTAAAACATCTTCATCATTCATAACACGAATCTGGGGAAATTGATTGTGAAAACGGTCTGATGTACCATCGTCGAGAGAGCGTGGGGATGCAAACGTGTATAGCTCCACCGCGACCTGGCCAAGGATTGAAAATATTGTTAATAAAATAACACTATGTATATCATATAGCAATGTTTCTGTTTATTTTTTGACGTACACAGGCTTCAAGGTTTTCAAATCGACAGCCGACTATGTATATAGGACCTAGAATATACTGACCGCTCCCCAAGTTCAGTATTGGGCGCTCCCAAGTTCAATATTGGCCGCTCAAAGTCGGCGGTATAATGGCCACTTCAATAATGGCCGAAATTTCACAATGCAGTTTTAGCTTCCTTGCATCAAAACAATTATCACTGCGAAACCCGATTTTGAGATTTCGAATTTCTCCAATGTGTAAATCGGCTTTTAATTTTTTATTTGGTGGAACATCTTTAAGCAACTGCACCCTAATGTAATTATTGTATCTCGAATCGCCGATCGGGGCGAGGAACCAAGGGGGCAGGGCAAGGGTTCAAACTGCAAAACACAATGAAGTTATGAAGAGGACATTGATATTTACAATACTATGTATATAGGACTCTTGCTGTAGAGAGTGAGAGAATGAGCGTATTTAGGAGACAAAGAGTCGAACTTTGCAGGTCCACAGTACTCCACACTCCACGTCCCCAGACTCTGCAGGAGTGCAGGAGGCACTGGCAGACGCCCGCAGCGGCGCAGCCTGCAGTCCTGCTGCCTGCACAGCCTCAGAGGCCGCAGAGACCGAGTATGTACAGCGCAGCCAATAATTGAAAAGAGTTTTAGAAGACAAAATACTTTTTGTGCTTTATCTATTTTTACAAAAATGTATGATTTAGGAGGCTATGCAAAAAGGCAAAACATGAAAACAACCCAAAACAAAACAAAGAGAGTGATGAATAAAGTATAAACACAGCCTTCTAAAAACAACCAATTAAAAAATTAAAAATAGAGGGCTATGGAATAAAATGGGACTTGGGACTTGAGACTTGGGACACTAAAATGAATACACTGAATTTGTCATCTGTTGGCTATGATTTTTTAAACAAAAAACTAAATTTGTTTTTTAAAAATGGATAAACAGTCGGGCCAAACGGGCAAGGTGTAGGATTGCTCTTAATAATGAGTCAATTTTTAAAGCGCAGAGACTTCTGAAGTTCTGGGGCTGGAACTAAGCTCATAACGTGATGGGGGTACGGAATAGAAGCTTAACGTAAACGCATATTTATTCAATTTTAGACCGTTATAACGGTTATAATGATATCAGTAGGGCCGACCTAAGTTCTTTTACAAGACTAGTTTGTATGGTAAAATAGTACACACTTGAATGTTCCATGGCGATAAAAGCGTTAAAGTTCAATTTTTATAACATGTGTGGTCCTGTAAATTTATTTGTCCCATATGTTCGCGCCCAATTTGACCCGCCATTAATCGGTGTTGTGGTCAGGTCTATTGGGTATGTCGTATTACTTGCTTCCTCGTACGTTGGCATGGTGTTTGTTCGTCACTAGCAACTGTGAGCTTCAGGCATATATAGCTATATTGTGTGGAATAGTATTGTACTTATGTGCACTGTATTGCCTGTAGGCTGCAGCCTGCAGGTCTGCCGCAATTTGTGCGTGTGTGTGTAAACTGTAAACACCGCTGTTTGGTAATTGTAAAAGTTGTTGGGAAAATGTGCTGTCAGTTGCAAGATGGAAATGCGTCATCACTTTGAATGCTAGTTTCTGATTACTCGAAACAGCCGCTATAGCCCATTTCGTGATTTTTAGGTGCGTAGTCGAAGTGCAATTTTTGTGAGTTTTGTTGGTCATATATTTGTCGAACTCGTTAAACGTTTATACGATATGAAAATAAGAATTAACGTTCAATTTTTATGAAGTAGAATCAGTACAGTACACCCATAACGTATTGAGCTTATTCTGGGGCTCATATATATAAAATGCTTTATGTAGTCCAATGTTTGTATTATTATTTTTAATTATTATTGAGCCCAAAAAGGATCATCAAATTTTTAACAGTTGTTAATTTTATTTGTAGTTAATTTTATTTGTATCCACTAAATAATATGTATCCACTAAATAATATGTATCCACTAAATAATATGTATTTATCCACTCTCTGTCCCACAAGTCTCCAGTACTCTCCACACAACTCACTACTCACTAATCACAAGTCCCAACCCCACTGCTCTGACCCCTATGCAAACACACACACACACAAGAGAGAGAGCGAGAGAGAGGGCGGCAAGGCGCACAGGTGACAGACGCGTCACGCGCCCCACGCAGCCGCGCACTCTCGCGCACATTCGCGCACAGTTTGTCGAAATCGGAAATCCTGGGGACAGACAGACGCCCGGACGATCATCCGAATCCCGAAGCCTGAAGCCTGAAAGGGTGAAAGCAAACTCAAGCCGTTCCCCGTTAAAAAAACACTTTCAGATTGAAAAATAAGCGTTTATACATAGGGTGCATATATCAGGTTACGAATAATGTCTCATATTTAATATCGATGCGCCAAAATGACCATCGCAAGAGTCCATTTTGATAGAAATAGATGTAGATATCAAGTTCGAATTTGAGAATTTTTCTGGCTGTTTAGACCTGTAAAACCGTTAAAACTTTTATAATTTGAATATGAAAATTCGTTTCCGTCCAACTTCTATGTATATTTGATATCAATATAGTAAATATAGCCATTTGAGAACTAAAATAGGCCGAAAGACTGAAACTTTGAAAGTATGATATTTATGTACGACTGTACGTACATATATATATCTATTTTTTTTTAAATGGGTTTTTCAAAAAACACGTGTCGTAAATACATGTGCTTGGTTTTACTCTAACGCTTATATCCCCGAAAGGTAGGAACCTGTTTCAAAAATAAAACTTCACATACCTGTAGATACTACTTACTCTCTGGAGAGAGAGTAGAGTAGTATGTAGAGTCTATAGATAAGATTCCCAAAATCATGATCATTATTTTTACAAAACAAAACAATGGACAATTGTAAATAGTAAATACTCAATAAATCGTGTACAGAAGTACGTGGCCGTGGGAGTCTGGGACGGTGTGAGTGAGTCTGACTCTGTATTTAGTCTTTAAAGACTCTAATCTCAAATCTCAAATCTCAACTTTAACTTTCGCATAACATTTATACACAGGAAGCGAGAGAGACTGTATGTAAATACATAGACTGTAGAGTGTAGAGTATAGAGTCTATAGACTGTAGACTGTAGGCTGTATTTAGACTCTAGTCAGTGTAGTTTCTACGCCGCGGCAGACTGCAGACTGCAGACTGCTTTCTGCAGTTTGTAGTCTAAGTGTGAGTATGTATCATATGCACACTGAGTCACTGACTACTAATATGATATTGACTATGTGGTCTGTACTTTACTACTTTAGAAGTACTCTGTAGTAGACCGACAATAAACAATACAGTGTACTCTATCGTGTCGTGTATATTTACAACTCTATTCACTATTATTCTGTATTCAATTCAAGTTGATCAAAACTTTACTCACACTAATAACACACAGTCACACACGTGACACACGTCACAAGACAACACTGTCACCGTTTTTTGAACAGAACAAAAAATTATGTACAAACACACATTTATGTTCATATATATATTTACGTATTTACAGTCATGACTCATGACTGTACATATAATAACTTCATGTCTGTATGTCCAATTGTCCATGATATTTATTTATGCACAATTGGAATTTGGACATTTTGAATATGCTGAAAATCCCTCCTGTGATCAATATTGAGTTGCACAATAAAGTCAATTTGTGAATGCCTGAGCCGTCTGATCTAAGGCGTGTCACATGTGCAACGTGTGTGATGGCACACTAATCAATATATTCGAGTATTGATCTGCGAACTTCTGTACGATGCATTCAACTCGTACTACATACTTCCCACAGCTTCTTTAAAAGACAATATTTGAACAGATCACAGTCAATCAGGTAAAATATAGATCAAGCGCCACTATAAAATTGACTAAAACATCTCTTCGACCGTGTATTTATCAAGTCTCGTAAATATGTACTCTAACTTCATTATCGGAGTTCTATGTCAGTCCCTGCTTGTAGCAGGAGCTGCAGTGAACGTTGTACGTCCCGAAGAGGCTAGCCTGAATACAACTGCCAACAGTGGAGCCGACACAGATGGCGTGGTCACTATCAAAATGCAGCTGGGACCTCAGTCCCGTGGTATGGGATGGTGGGCCTGGACATTTGACAATGAGGATTGGAATGAGACACCATATGTCACTGAGTCTATATCGTCAGCATACGAACGTAGGGTTGTCACCGCTGCCGGTATCGCGGGGGCTTCTCACCCGATAGATTTATCCATTGAAGCGCTGAGTGTGAATGTAATTAACAACGAGTGCTGGATCTCGATCGCAGGATCTGGTGATACTCAAGATTTTGATAACTTGAATACCGGATTTGCTGATATAAACTATGAGGGTCAATATGTGGGGCGCGGGTTTGACGGGTTTGTAAACGGCTACAACAAATACTTTGCATTCAGAATGAACGGAGTTGTCGACCAGACTTACTCAGGAGCATCCAAGTTGAATTTCGTCGGGTATAGTCGCGGAGCCGGTATAGCCACATTACTAGCAGCCGCTTACCACCAGTATGGCCACATGAATCACTGAAAGGGGTACATACTGAGAAAGCGGCCAATATTTCAAATTTTGTCAGAATTTTATTTTGAACCAAGTGTAGAATCCAGTGTCCGGGTGATTTTCTTATTCGGGTCATTGTGAGCATTTTCCGCCGTCAAACGTTTGAATCGGGTCTGTATTTGATGTCTCATGACCCTTGTCAAAATGGGTGATTTGGTGGAACAATTTATTGTTTTAAAAAGCAACTGCACCATACAATTTACATTTTACTGTATTACGAAAATATATAGGAATCTCAGTGTGACCAAAATTCCACCAATAGAAATACACAGATTCTCGCACAGGTCCCATACTTGTACTTTTTCAAATTTTATTTCATTTATAAGTACAATAGGGCGAATTTAGCCCATTTGCTGCTGTTGTTGTGGGTTTAGTTGCACTTGTGTAAGTTCTTTGTCGTTCTTTAGCGCTCGACACATAGCAGATACAGATAGTTGCATGCCATAAGCGGTTTTAAGTTAATCAATAGCATCTTGAGCGCTGTGTCCTCTCGATATGATCTTTTCCAAAAGTGATTCCTATGACTATATACACTTTACACACGGCCTTGTTCCCGTGGTGTGAAGTTTTTGGCTGCCTTGTTGGTCTCAAGGCCTTCTTCGTATTCTAGCCATAGGTTCCATAATGTCTTAGGCCCCTTACCTGACTTTGCTTCCCGTATATCTTGTTGTTGTTGGTGGTTAAAATGTGGTTGTTGATTCTGCTGTGGGTTATTCTGCGGTAAATCCAAGCGATGAAAACCTGCTGCCATCTCTCTCTTGGTTCTTTGCAGTAACTTCCTTAGTCTTGTACTTTGTGCAGTATACTCTAGTTTATCTTCTTCCATCATTTGTTTTTAAATGTCGCACTTCAGCCGTCAGTCCTATCATCTCGTTGTGAAGATCTTGTACATTCATATTTTGAACATTCTCCGCACCAGGGGCAACATCAATTTCTTGTATTCGGAAATTGTCATTGCCATCCCGTAGCACCAGCACTTGTTGTTTCTCAACTAACTTGCTAATGTCAGCATCCTCTTGAATGTCAAATACTTCGTGTAGGTGTGAAATTACGTGTTGCTTGAATTCATAAGTAACCAAAACACTATCAGTTGGTTATATGTATCCATGTATGTTTATATATATATATATATATATATAATTATTTTTGTTGTTGTATATTTTGTATGTATACGTACATGTGTT